ATGTTTCATTAAATTATGAACTTAGTCCCACTTTAAAGCTGAAATCAAATTCTCCTGCTGCATGTACGTACTTTTTTGTCACTGGCATATCTGTTCGTGTTTCGGCCTTAGCCAAAAGTTCAAGGATTATTTGGACAATGTCTTCAACAGTCTTGATAATTTTATTATCAGGTTTTGAAAATTTTATTTAAGAATTGAATGCTTCTTTGTGTAAATTCAAAGGGTTGACCGAATTACATTTTGTATGAAGCGCGGTCAACGCTAATACATGTACAACCCTATGAAATTACTTAAAGAAGCATTCAATACTATACTTAGACCTATTGATCTGAACATTTACTAAATGATACTTCCAATTTTTTCACATGTGTGTCACACGCATGTGAAAGAGACGTTTCAATGTTTTAATGTCCAATTTTTTCCAAGTTTGAAATATTAAATACTTATAATCACATTTGTCTATTGTAGTTAATTTGAGAATATTAAATATTCATCTTTTAAAACAACATGCACATTTAGGTGCACATTTTCGCTGGGTTAGTCATTTTCTCACCCAGCGTTAAACTCGTGAGACAAACGTTGCCTCGGTTGTCTTGTGGAGGCGTCTTCACTCGAGTGTCAGATGTCATGGGTTCTGACCCCGGCCGGGTCAAACCAAAGACTTTAAAATTGGTATTTGCTGATTTTCCGTATCACGTGACATTAAGGGGCAAGATCAAAGACTAGTTGGGTCGGAGTCAGAATATATAGTGTCCAGTTAGGGTGATATGTCAGCACATTAAAAATAGTGACACAAACAACCCATGCATTAACACGATGTCCAGTAGTCAGCACTTCTGTGTAAACATGAATTATCATTGATATGGTCAAATTAATAAATAAACTGTTGAGTAAAACTTTGAATTGTTTGACAAACTACGAATTTTATATTCAGGAATAGATAACCTGATCTGTATTTGGCAACACGTTCCGGAATCTTGGGCCTTTTATGATCTAATGACTTTTTTAATCGACCTTTTGTACACGAAACACACATACAAAATTACTAGCATGATATCTTTGACTATGATGCATTTTTTTCCTTTGATATTCAATATTCGTTTTTTTTTCTTTTCTTTGACGTATGAATATCTGATTAAAAAAATAACCATTTTTATTTATTTAAGTATGTTTAAAGTCATTATAGTACTGCAAATTAAGAGGAGATATGATTGATTGAATGTAATGTAGAGAACAATTTTCAGACAAGAAATACGAAGTTGCACGCGTTGTCGTTGAACTTGAAAGAGCAGCGGGGAGGCGGGGGACAATTACAAATCATAAGTCCAATAAATACAAACAAATCCATGCACTCTGTGTTTTTGTTAGATGTATTTCTATTTGTATCCATCTGATGAGTTAAGCCTTTTTAAACTGATTTTTATAGTTCGTTCTTATGTTGTACTGTTACTCCACTGTTCCAGGTTAGGGGGAGTGTTGGGATCCCGCTAACATGTTCAACACCGCCACATTCTGTATGTATGTGCCTGTCCCAAGTCAGGAGCCTGTTATTCAGTGGTTGTCGTTTGTTACTGTGTTACATATTTGTTTTTCGTTCATTTTTTGTACATCAACTATGCCGTTAGTTTTCTCGTTTGAATTGTTTTACATTTGTCATTTTGGGGACTTTTATAGCTGACTATACGGTATGGGCTTTACTCATAGTTGAGGGCCGTACGGTGACTTATAGTTGTTAATTTATTTATGTGTCATTTGGTCACTTGTCAAGAGTTGTCTCATTAGCAATCATACCACATCTTCTTTTTATAAATATCATGGTAAAACAATTACACAATATGATTTCGCAATAGTGTTGGATAGTTTTGTTTGATCTTGAAAGACGTGAAAGAAAGGACTTTTCACAAAAGCGTCAACGGAGATTAATAGATTCCAGGGCCACGATTTCGTCATTTATAAAACAAAATACAAGTTTCTGACGGGTAAAGTTGTACTAACATTTAATGTTGACACCATTCATTGCCATTATCAATCTGTTGAGTATAGAATATATAGTCAAAACTTGTTTTTGTTTAGAATACACCATTCCATGGATAACATGTTTAACAAATCTGTGCAGTTTTTACGCTACAAAAAAAACGATATGTATGCTTCGACATGCCAATCAACGTCTGTGTCACAGTGTTCCAAATATTGAAATTTAGTCAAAAAGGAACTGTTTGAGCATGAACCAGTTATTTAATAACTTTGGTTTCAGTTAGTGATTTACATTCCCAAAATTTCTCTGCAGTTTGTCACAGTTTCTTCTGATTTGTGTCAAACCCCGACAATCTGCTATAATCTCACTTTAAATTCATACAATAATAAATACAGGAATATTCTGTGTTCCTTTCTCGTAGATGTAAAATTTGTCATAAAAAACTAGCCATTTTAGCACGAAGAAAAGTCTTTTTGTCGAATCCAGTGAATACCGGAAATCATCTCCGGTCCGCAGTTTGTTTAAATATTTCGATGATTCAATGAAAACTGACGATTTTTTTTCACCTTTTATTAATTTTTAACTATGAGCGTACCTACGGCCCACTAAGATATTTGAACTGCATCAACATTTATATTCAAGGAATGTTAGGTTTAAATATTATCGTGGGCCGTAGGTACGCTCATAGTTTAAAATGCAGAAAAACATTTAGAAACTGCCATTTATCTGCCGTTTTCGCGAATCTTGAGGTGTTTACAGCAACAAAGCATGAATAATATCAGCTGAAAGTTGACAGATCTATTGATGTTTACAAAAATATAGGTTTTAAACTTTAAAAATATAGTACTATAATTTATGGCATATCACTTTTAATTTGAATCGAAATCGGGGGCCGTTCTCTGATGCTTATCGTACCTTGTCCTTTTAGTTATTTCTAAACAAAATATTTCATAAATTTATAGGATACTTATATAAAAGAGAACTTATAAATAATTTAACAAAAAAACAGCTTGTGTTTATCTGTTTATCTTTTAAAACAAAAAAGTTATGCACATCTGTCGGGAGGAAAAATACGTCCACAAATCCGAATTTTGAACAAATATCTGAAATTTTGACCTCATTTTACTCAAAAAGTAGCACATGAAGGTATATTTTTTATTACATATTTGATTTATGCAGGTAAAAAATAGCCTATATATCTTAAAGGGAAAAATTCTCACCGTCAGAAATAAATTGTTGGATATGCCCTTAAATGCCACGGCAGGGACGTACATGTGAATATTTGTTAGCGAAAAGGCTCTGCTGGGTACATAATTAATACATCACCCGAGACAGAGATGATATAAGAAAATTATTGTTCATTTATGCCGCGTTTCCAATTCCACTTGTTTTAAAATTAGTGACCCGATGCCAGTGTGATAAAATCCACTAATTATATACCAGGCAAAACATATGAATATATAAAATGTAATAATATTAAAAAATGATTTGTTTTTCAATAAACTCGGACTTGATCATTAAAAAAGTTTTTTTTGTTTTCAAATGATCGCATTATACATTTCATTTCTATAAGTACTGATAAAAAAGGGCGGAGACTTTAGTGATGATAATTGACTAGATTCGTTAAACACGCCTTCCAACAGTAAGATATACAGTCTAATCAAAATAAATTATACAGCCTATGCTACTTTCGAGTTTTGACCCTTTAATGATGTGTTTGAAATAGTACAGCATATGCTACAATTTAAAAATATTGCATAGTCAATGTTTGTGATATAGCATATGCGATAAAAATGCAGCATAACCAGACAAATATATATTGACCCTTTTGGGACGTCAAATATAGCTTATGCTACAAAGCAGCATAAGCTATATTTTATAGCTTATGCACCTCTTTTTACTTTTGACCCTTTCCGTACGCCATAATAAACATACTATGTATACACAGGCCAGAGTCTGAGCTTGATTTGCTATATGATATAAAAACTAAACTGACGAAAAAAGGTCATTTATTTAAAATCATAAAATGCAAAAAATACATTTTGCAAATAAAACATTTGACATAAAAGTTCATATTTAATATGAAATATTAATACATAATTAATACGAAATTACATCAACTAATATCATATCAATTGAATAAATGACAAAGAATAGCAAAGGTGGGGAGAAAAAAATATATAATATAAAAATATACTGCTAACCAATTTTAACACATATGGTCCTGTATCTTGGCGATACTAATATATTTGCATTGTACAAGGTCACACTTTTCTCATACTGCCGCTTTTTACGTTTGTACTCTTAATCCATTGGAGGTCATTCAGGTCAGGAGACCTGTTTTATTTTTTAAGTGATATTTGCCTTTGACCTATTTCAGTAACTGCGAGTAATCTTAAGTCGGTACTATGTGTCTTTTGTCATATTTTAGTTTTTTATGTGTGCTCATACTGATTCGGTGAGTTGTGCTCCTTTTCAAATGAGTTTTACATTTTTTTATTGCTGTTCTATTACACTACTTTACCCTACACATCAAGTATGTGCATATTCCAAGCCAGGAACCTGTAATCCAGTAATTGTTTGTGATTGCTGTCTGTCATAATTGTGTTTTGTTTATTATTTTTTTAGCATAAGCATGCATGCAGTTAGTTTTCCCTTTTGAATTATTTCACATTTTGACATCCCGGTTTCTTTTATATCGTAATGCTAGCGGTGTTGATTTTGTACTTTGTTGAAGGTCGTACAGTGACCTGAAGTTGTTCATATCTTCGCCCTTTTGGTCTTTGATGTAAAATTATTCATTGGCCTTCATACCAAACTCCTTATTTTTATTTATACCCGGCGAGATTTTATAGACAAGATTTTTGCGGTATGGTGTTTGCATTTGTCCGTCGTATGAGACTTTCTGCATTCTCATATGACTTGACGTCTCTGGTGTTTGGGTCATATCCTATTACCACTCAGGATGAAATTTTCGAGAGAAAAAAAAGAAAATGCAAAACAAATAAATTCATCAATGCCTTACCACAACAATTTCTTCTGTTATATATTTCAACTCGTTTGATTTGATAATTCTTTCCAAGGTCTACCTCCCAGTATGGTGAATTTTCAGTATGTGTGTGCATGAACGTATCCATGTTGCCATCAACAGCAAGATTCGATGAATATGGATTACCATGGTCTACAGCAGTTGAACTTTGGTAACTGGTCTTACTATAGGAAACTTCTCTCAAATGGGGCGTGTTCTCTGCAAAAAAATATAGTTTTATATAAAAAAAAATCAAATATGATGTTTAATACGAATAACCAGAAAGTTTCAGATAAGAATCCAGCTGCGTCGGATAGAAATCGACCTTATGCAAATGAAATCAATACACCTGTTAACATGTTTCGGGTTGAAAAAATCTCTACGGAAAGTCTGTAACTGTTTGAAATTTATTTGTTATAAGAACCCTACAAAACAGACCAAAATTACTCTTTTATTTCGTATCTGAATGTTCCAAAATTAATCAGTCTTATACAGGAACAAGTATACATGCACTTGCAAAAGGTCGATTTCTACCCGACGCAGCTCAATAGATAAAAAAAAGTATGTTTTATTTATATCTTGCAATGCAACTACTTTATTAAAACGAAGGTGATCATAAAAACATTGTATTTGTAAAAAAAACAAAAAAACACAAGTATTATTGCGTGTGTGGTGGAGTGGGGTTCTCATCTCAAATAATTGTTTTAAACTTTAATAGAAAAATATTTTTTTAAATACCAAGCTTGAACAAGATTTTCTTTAATCATTTTTTTCATTGATGATTATTATTTTTACTTATTTTCAATAGAAACAAAGATTACTTTCAATTGGCTTCTGACGCATTTTCCTTAACACATGTTTATTGATAGTCGAGCTGTACAAAATTTGGTACACGCAAGGTTTGACCTAAAAAATCAAAATTACCTTTTCAAAGAATTGTTAATATTTCCCTCAACATTGATGTGTTTTTATTAAATTTAGATTCCAGCCACTGTAAGATATTGATCTGAGTAGATACTACTCCAGTTGCAAATAGTACAAAGAAAACAAACACTTTTCCTGTATACATTCTGTTCCTGGATCATATAATGCTTGCACTGATAACACGTCTATTATTTTTTTCTGTGATTTCTTCCAAAGTCGATAAACAGTTATACTAGTATATATATTTACACGCAATACTATAATTAGGTTTCATAGATCGTTGCATTTATTGGTGTTTTCGAAATATCAAAATCAGCTGAGTAACATTTTTGTACTATTATTATATAACGGGAAGATACTTTGATATTCTAGGGGTTCCAAGATTATATTTTATCTGACGGAAAATTAATTATGTTCACTTTTAATATATCCGGCTTTTTCTTGAGCAATACATTCATTTCGATCCTATTTTGGCAAGGTAATTATTTCCAACACCTCCTCCTACCCCTACCCCTGCAGGATATCATATGGTTACCCCATAAACCAATTTTGCCTTAATAAAGTATCACAAAAACATGCTAATTTTCCGTAAAATTGATTGAAATATGTATATGCGAAGTTCATTTTGTGCAGTCTGTTAAAAAAAACAGTTACAAATATTTAGCAATAGAAAGATAGCACAAATTTCATTTTCTACACAAAAAAAAAAACAACTATATGTGTAACTTCGGTGACCTATAGCTGTTAACCTTTATGTCATTTGGTCTCTGGTGGAAAGTTAATGGATCTCATTGGCAATCATACCACATCTTCTTTTTTATATTCGTCCCAAAAGAAAATATTCGGCGTATTATAATACATTAGTACTAAGCACATATTCACGAATTCTAATCATTACGATATCTTATTTTACAACAAACAGGGGTACCGTGATAAAATATTAAGCAGAAACTAAAGGGAATGTGTCAAAGAGACAACAACCCGACCAAAGAGTCGAAAACAGCCCAAGGCCACCAATGAGTCTTCAACGCAGCGAAAAAAATCCTGCACCCTGAGGCGGGCTTTAATTGGCCGCTAAACAACAATGTATGCGCGACTTGGATGGATAGTTGTCTCATTGGCACTCATACCTCATCTTCTTATTTTTAGTTCAGCGAAATAGTCGCCACACAAAACTCCAAAACATTCAAATGAACCAAAATTTTAAAAAAGTACAAAATACTGACAAAGGCTAGAGGATCCTGACTTGGGACAGGCATTATATCATTATGTGCAGTCTGTCAAATAAAAATGATCAGTTACAAATATTTAACAATAGAAATATTGCAAAAAAATAATTTTCTACACACAATAGAAACCCGAACTAAATGTGTAACTTCGGTGACCTATAGTTGTGCGGCCCCTCATGGGAGTGTCCAAGTAATCACATAATCACAATTTTTTTGCCAATATAATCACATAATCATTAATTATTTTTTTAAAAAAGATAATCAAATAATCAAAAAACAGTCCTAGATTATTAAATAATCAAATAATCATGAAATATTTGGTCTGGTAATCAAATAATCACTATAAAAACGGCCAAGTAATCACATAATCAAAAACCCTATGAGGAGGCTCAGTTGTTAAAAGTTTTATGTCATTTGGTCTTTGCTGGTGAGTTGCCTTGTCTCATTGGCAATCATACCACATCTTCTATTTTCATATATTTTCGGCGTTGCATTTATATTGAATTGAACTATTCTCGACTACTTGTTTTTATAGCCTGTTCTGACTGAGTTAGTAAGTTGCGTTTTCCCATCCATCGCTTATCAATGTCCTTTTTGTCAAATACTTTTATAGCGGGTGTATCACTAATGAATATAACTGACGGTCAACAACAAACCACGTGCAGTATCTACATGTAGGCTTGCAACAATACTTACTAATGTAGTTTATATCTGTATACAATAAAGGCAAATTGGTTCGGTATGTGCCTCTATTTTATTGGTTGTTGGTGGTTGGTGTGGTCTGTTCATATGTCAAATATTTTTGGCAATCCTTGTTTTATTTTGTAGTATGAGTCACATATGCGTTTTCTCGATGAGAGTTTCACAGTGTGCGTACCACCGTTGGGTAAAATATCGAAAATATAGAAATATTCATACGCTCTTTAATTCAGTTTTACAGACTGAGATGATCTCATTTAGATTTTGTTTTCAAGTGGACCTAGCTATACTTCATGATCCAAATTTTGTCAGTGAAATTTCTATTATATATTTTCTGCATACAACATGGAGAAAACACCGGCAAGGTGTTTGTAAAAAGTGTGATAGAAGAATAAATTAGATATAGAGGCCTTTTGGAATGGTATAACATATGACTGCGATGAAAATCTATTATTTCGAATGGAATTTTTAATAGTCAACCATTTTTCCGTACATTTTTTTTTTTTTTTTTTTATTTTCAAACCAAAATCTATCCCATTAAATTCGCACCGTTACATTACTTTGAAAGCAATTTGGGTGTTTATCAAAGGCATACGTGAAAGTAGTCCTGATAACATATCCAGATCTACTGTTTTATAAAAGTAACGCATGGACGGATTTACGTACTGGGCACCCTTGAATGAAAAAAAAACCGTGATATTCTAAATTTCTATTTCACAAATCAATTTAAAATATAATACAATACTTACTTGCACGTTTTATACGCAGTTGTAGAGTGACAACAAACATGAATAAATAATCGAATATCAAACAAAATATTGACTGTTTTACTTACAAAATGTTTTTGAATTATTATACAGAACATCACTTACACCGATCGTCAATCAATTTTATTTCGACGTTTAAAAATGATTTATTTCAACTTTCAAATTTTATGTATTTAAAGGATTAAATTAAATAAGTCTTAAAAAGTATATCCTCCAAAAAGTTCTGCCAAAGTTCATTTCATATAACGGTAATGTCACCATACAGTTGCACTGTTTGCCTCACCAGCCAAATTAAGGGATATCCATTCCTCTTAATTTTTTACTAAGCATAAACCAAATTTTATTGGAAACTATTTCAATGCTTGAGCAGGATGCATATCAGCTAATAATCCACATAGCACTGATCCCATAAGAGAAATGAAGTTTATCTTCGAAATTGAAATAACGATCACGAATTCAAATTATATATTTTGTGAGGTCATAAATAGAGATCGGCTTCCCGGTAGATATCAATTTAGAAATTTTTGAAGTACTTTTTAAAAACGTACAGAACATATGGCAATTTTAAGATAGAATCTATATTAAGAAGAGAACTATTAACAAAAATCCAATATCTAGTGGTCGATTCTATTTGATTATCATTTACTAAACCTGATGTTACCTACTATATCAGTTTTCAATTGCAAAAAGAAAAAAGTTATTTATGACCACTCTACAAGCCTGTAATTATCATCAACAAGACAATGTAGGATAAAAATAAATATGCTGGAGATATATATTATTTAAATATGACATAAAGACGACTAAGAGTATAAATCATTGAGACAGCAACCCAACGACACTAAAAACTTTAAGACCTATAGAGGTCCTTAGATAATGCATATGCACGTGTAACGAACGTTTGATTGGTTGATAGATATATTGGTGTTCACATGCACGATTTATTTGTATCTGAAACCTTAAGCTGGTACAAGTTACATTGAATTAATTAAATATGACACTATCAACTGTATTGCTTGTTTTTGCTGTAGAAATCATATTCCTGAAATTTGAATACTTGAAGAAAAGTCAAGTGTATATCCATTATATAAAAGTGCTAAATAGTCCAAGACTAAACAAGGCATGTTGAACACATTTAAACAGACTATCAAATTTCTTACATTCTCGTTCTTGGCCACTGGGGGATATAAGTCTCATTGGCAATCATCACAACACATCTACGTATCTTTACATCAGTTTCCGGTTCCTTAGATGACAACCGACAATACAAAAGCTGAGACAACAACTGACTTGAAGGGAAACCCTATGGGTAATATTCGTGCAGATTTGATTACTGATATCAGTTTTTGCATATAATGTTCATATAATAAATCATAATTTGTTTTACAATTTAACTGACAATTGTATATGGTTTCTTTTGGTCAAGTTTTAACATATGACTTATAATGTACGTTCAAAATAAACTGGATGATTAAGTTTTAAACGGCATGACACGGTTTTTAATTGTTTTATGTAAGATTTTCAACATTTTCACTGATATGAAATCTATTCAGAAGTACTGTCGCAGATATATGAGTGTAGGAAGCAATGCTTTAATTCTTTACACTGACATGTTTAGTCTGAGAAAGAATGATTTATTTATTAGTTATAATTGTGGTTCCAGTAACTGTAAGTATTCTTAGATTGGACACTCTTGTGTCTTTTGTTTTTATGTTAGTTGTTTTTTGTGCTTTGTGCCAATCTGATGAGTCAAATCATTTCCAACTGATTTTTACAGTTTGTTCTGATGCTGTTCTATTACAACACTTTCCAAGTTTAGGTGAGAGTTGAACGCTCACAAACATGTGTATCCCCGCCACATTCTATATGTGCCACCCTGTTTTGCAGTGGTTGTTGTTGTTTGCTATATATATTTTCTTTTCGTTTAATGTTTTGTTATATATAGATCATGCCGTACTTAAAAAAAAAAAAACACACATGCAGAATATACGACAATTTCAAGCTAGAAACTATATGAACAGTTGATTTATCAACGCAAATCCAATATCTGGTGGTTGATTCTATTTGATTTTAATTTCCTAAACCTGATGTTACCTACTATATGAGTTTTCAATTGCACAAAAAAGTATTTATGACCACTCTGTGAGCCCTTATACTAAACCAGACAATGTAGGATAAAAATAAATATGTTGGAGTGGAGATATATATTATGAAAATATGAAATAAAGACGACGAATAGTATAAATCAATGAGACAGCTACCAAACGACACAAACACATAAAGAGGTCCTTAGGTAATATATACACACGTGTAGCGAACGTTTGATTGGTTGATAGATTGAGTGTTGTTCAAACGATTTATTTGTATAGGAAAACTTAAGCTTGTACAATTTACATTGAATAAATTAAATATGACACAATCAACTGTTTTTTTTTGCTGTAGAAATCATTTCCCTGAAAAACTTCAACAACTAGTCAAGATGTATACATTATGCAAAA